AGCGGGTTCCGGAGCGGGTTCCGGAGCGGCTCCAGAGCAGGTTCCAGAGCGGCTCTAGAGCAGGCTCTAGATCGGGTTCTAGATCGGGTTCTAGAGCAGGTTCTAGATCGGGTTCTAGAGCAGGTTCTAGATCGGGTTCTAGAGCAGGTTCTAGAGCGGGTTCTAGAGCGGGTTCTAGAGCAGGTTCTAGATCGGGTTCTAGAGCGGTTCTAGATTGGGTTCTAGAGCAGGTTCTAGAGCGGGTTCCGGAGCGGTTCTAGAGCGGGTTCTAGAGCGGGTTCCGGAGCGGGTTCCGGAGCGGGTTCCTGGGTTCTGGAGCTGGAGCTGGTTCTGAGAGCATCTTGTCCCGATCCCCGGGGTGGGTGGTTGGCAATCCCTGGCTCTCTGAAGAGCCAAGGCAGAGTGATGCTGTCACCTCCGAATGACTCAGTAGCTATAAATCAGAGCAGGAAACCTCTAGCTCAGAGACATATCATGATGGAACCCATCTGACTGGGCCATCTTATTCCTGCCCTAGGCAGGGTGGGTTCCTCTTATCTGGGGCCTTTGTTTCTATGGGATCAAAACAAGCTCTGAGCTGCAGCTGTGATTGAAACCAGCTTGGCCTTTCTGAACCTTTCTCTTCCTCGAGCTGGGGTTGGTGTGTGGCTCTCCAAGCCAGAAGGCTGATGTCAGGATTGCTTCATTCAGCAACGCTGGGTAAGGGCTAATAAACACCACTAAGAGCTTGCTAATAGCTCTAATTAGACTGCAGCTGATGCTTCATAAGTGGTTCTTTCCTCTTCCACCCCTTTCTTGCAGCTATTTCCTGGTGGAGTTTAGGAAGGTGAGGTGGATTAATGCTACTTTGGGAGACAGTCAAGATTCCCAGCTGCAAAGTTACATTTTCCTCTTGTTTTTTATTTTTTAAATTTTTTAAAAATATCTTTTTTTAATATTTATTTTTTTTTTTTTGCAGGCGGTCTGGCACGGTTTTCTCAGGGCAGCCGTCTGCTTCTAGGCTGAGCTGAGGTGTGGGTGATACATTTGTCGCAGAGTGTTGCTGGGAATATGCCTAATTTGGGAGTTTGATAGTCCAGAGGTAGAATGAAAATGAAGCTTTGATGAGTTCCTCACCCTTGTTGATGGGGCCTTTCCTGGCTCTGAGAGGATCAGAAGTTGCTTTCCAAAATGCATGAGGAAGAGAAGGAGTTTTGTTTAAAAAAAAAAAAGGAAGAAAAATGAAAGCTTTGCTGTAGTTTTCCTGGTACATTTTGTTCGTTTCTGTCTCTGGTTGCTGGTGTTTTTGTTTTTTACCTCGAGTACTTCCTGCAGTAATAGAGATTTGCATGTCAAGTCTTTAGCTGTCTCGTGACAAGTGAGATTTTTTAAGCTGCATTTTTTTTTTTTTTTAATTAGCCAAGGATCCTGAGCACGAAGTCTGTGCACAGATGCTGTGCAGAGCAGGTGCTCAGGGGCCCATCAATGTTCAGCATCTATTCCCTGGCTGTTTGTCACTGTGGGGGCTGTGCACAGGAACCCTGGGGTCCCCCTGGGCCAGGTTTGGGGGTCCCATCACCAGTGACACTCTGTGATGCTCCAGCCCTTGCCTTGGAGAGCATCACTCATGTTTCTCATCCCACTTCTCTGCTTACAGACACGATGTCTCTTCTGTACATGAGCTGGCCTGAGCTGAAGGA